AACAAAACAGTCCTGCTGTAAATATCCTGTTGGAACACTGAAGTTGGTGTGCTGCATCTGAACAGAACTCAGCAGGGCTAGACTCTTTGGCTCCAACCTCAAGCAAAACTCTTGGAACATACATATTTGGTTTGGATCTCACAACACTCTGCACAGGGGTTCTTGAAATTGGAATGGCCTTTCCATTTTTTTTTTTTTAATATCTGGGACACTCTGAATGCTGTTGCTGTTAAGGTTTTGTCCTAACACTAGAACAAACATTCACAGTCACAAGTTTTGTATTGAGTTTAGAGTATTTCAAACAGCTGTTTTGACATTTTGAGTTCAAAAAGTGTTGCATACTTGTAATTACATTACATGTAACAATGAAATTACAATACTGTCAGGGATGTCATTAGTACCAGCAAAAATAACAAAGAATTCCTAACTCTGTAGAAGAAACTTCAACTTAGAAGAATGTCTTATATTTCTCTATTTCAAGTTTGAAGTTAGTCTAATATCTACATGGGTATCTGATTAAGTACTTTAATGGAAAAATACATGTAAAAATTAACCCATTTAGCTTAATTATAAGTAACAAGTCTTCCCCCAGATATTTCACTGACATAAATTTAATGAAGTGTATGCCCTCAGGACATACCTCATCATCTCCATCTACTAAAGTTATACAGTGCAGCTTGGAAAAAAGGATTGGTTGGGTGGAAACATATAGCTAAGTAGAACTGCAGTGGGCTATTACCCCCTTGACAGGGGTCATGACTGGTTTGAGGAAATTGCCGGTTGGATCATCTCCTGCTTATCTCCATGTCCTGTCCTCCTAACAGTCAGCACCTCTTTCTCAAAATAGTGAATGTGAGGGTTGCCATATAAATCAATAACCGCTTTGGCCAGATGAACAACAAAATAGGACTGAATATCTATTTTTCTTTGACTTCCAAAACCAATCAATTAATATGCCTCCCTAGGCCCTAGTTGGCCTACCAAATGTTGGGTACCATTATTGAATGATGTTAGTTCAGATGCATTAGGATCCCAAAAAAGTTTACAGAAAGGCAAAATTGAGGTATCGCAACCTTATTAATTATCAGCTCCACTAGCAAGACCAGACCATGACATCAATTCCACAGGAAGGCTAAAACTATTTTTTATTGAAATTGGCTGTAATAACAGAATTGTGCAAGTCTGATTGTGCTATACCACCTTTTCCTTCTTACACTTCAGTGAATTAGGGAGGTGTCGGTCCGAGCTCCTTCTGAACGTTATCTGGATGTTCTGGACTTAAAAAATGCTTCAGCCCTTTTTGCCTAGTCAACAGCTTCTACATATCTTCATCAAGGTAATTTTCCTTACTTATTTAATTTCTGCTGTACCTATTTTATACAACAGTGTTCTTGTGTTCTTGATTAGTCTGAGGCTTTTTATGCATTTTAGATCCATAATCAAAATTATGATTTCCCCAATCTCCATCTTTCAGTATCTCTCTGCTATAATTATTAGAAATAGTACGCTTATATACTGTCTATGTTAGAGAGTAGATATTGCTATCAAGCTGTTTCACTCTGCTATAATGTATTTGCTTATGCACATATGTGTATTTAAAATAAAGAAAAAAGGGGAAAAAAGGTCATTTTCCTTACTTTCTACATTAATAGACCCTTTGACTTATATGCTGCATGTTCCCATAGATCTTTCCTCCCTTCATTTTTCAGTAGGTTGTAATAAGCCAGTAAATCTTCAACTAACAGTTTCTCATTTCATCTGAACAATTGTTTTAAGGTCTTGGTTGAGGTTTCATTTTTCCAAGGAGCAGGCCAGGCCTCAAGATACAACAGAAGGAGGAGGAAGAGGAGGAATTGCCCCAAGAAAAGCAGTTCAAAATATTGGGTAGAATGTTGGACACTGAAGGGAAGAGATTGAATCTGGATTTAAAGTTTTGCTCAGCCATGAAGTTTGCTGATGGACCCCATTACAGATAACTGCTAGTATGGACTGCACAGGATATATCAACTATAGGAAGAAAAGGTACCAAAACAAGCTGGAGGTCTAAAAAAAGTAGGGTTGGTCCAGCAGTACAGCAATGAATTTTTGAAATAATTGGTTTATGACATGTATGGTGTGCTATGTCAACTAGCCATGGGAAATTCCACTAGTCTGCAACTTGAGGATGAAGATCTCATTTGTTGTTTGTTTAGAAACAAAGACTCCTTACCCCTTTCATTCTAAACACACATATTAGATTGATGGATGAAAGCCTACTCTGTTAGATGCAACAGATGGTATCCTAAATTGGTAGGGATAGGTGCTAAGACAAAAACAGGCTGTGAACAGTGGAGTCCAACCCCATAAAATACTAGGAGAAGGAGTAGGAGGTCTGTCAAATTTCTGTAAAACATTTGAGAACCATGAAAAGAAAGTATAACATTCTGTAATCCACACCTGCTGTTAGGTCTTACACTTAAGAAAGGTGGCTAAGCCACAAAAACTGGCTCCAAACTTAGTCATAAATATGAGTTAGGCTTTCCCCTGCAGAAGTGATCTGCATGATGGTCGAATGAAGAAATATTGCTGCACGCATAGGCAACTGTCCATAACAAGTAAGTTGTTGTGGTGCTTTGATTTGAGTTAAATGTGCTTGCCTCTTCTCTCTATGACCATGCAAATTCTTTCCTATATTTGTATGCTTTCTGCAGCTAGGAGATCCTTGTACTTAGGCTGAAAGTACACCATGACATATACCACTGTGCCTATAGATCTCTGCTTATCACTGCTGTTTTCAAAGTCCACCACTTTCTTCTGCCTTGTACAAAGGCCTCTTACCAGTGTTCTAGGTAAACCCTATAAAGCCCATTTGATATAGTTCTAGACTGTTTTGATCCTTAAAAACCAGGATGCATCGATGATTGGACACATTTACTTGTAGGGAACACTAGCCAGACAATTGGCCAACATTAGAGACCAGTAATTGACTATATTGTTCTACCATCCCAGGTTCCTACCTATATCTCTTCCCCCTCTTCAAAGAAATAAAACATAGTCTTTCCATTTTCCCTGTGTTTCTCCTTGTCACATGGTACATCTCTATACTCATCAAAACCATCATCAGGATTACAAATTTGGACTTTTTTTTTTTTTTTTTTACAGGGACCTGCCTAAGCAGTCCTACTTGCAGGTGATCAGGAGCTGAGTGGGGGAGACTGTGGCTCTCCTCTGATTTATTTATTTACTTTTATTTACTGATTTGATATGCTGCTGGATTAACTCTTGCCATTATCTACCACCACACACACACACACACATCTGTGCCATTTTCAGATAGCAAACAGGTTTACTGCTGTTTCCCTACCAAGTCCTGGCTAGTTAAGAATGTAATTTTCTATTCTCTCATTGCAGTCTCATTCATTCATTCATTCATTCATTCATTCATTCATTCATTCATTCATTCATTCATTCAATCAATATAGCTTCCCATCTCACATGCGTGACTCTGGGCTGATCACAGAATTTGTTGGCCTTTTAATACTACTGCTCTGTTGAGTGGCCCTGGCAGCTTCGTCTCTTGTTTTACAGCTTCAAATGTTGGTTCTGACACTTTCTTAATCAGATCCCTCAGGGATCCGTTTTTCACCACATGTTTGCTGCACAAAGTCAGGAGGGAAAGTTTTGTCTAATGGGAGCAGAGACCCACTCCTCCAAGCACAAGAAAGCAAAATTAAGCTGTTGGGGTTAATGGCATTCATTGCAATCTCCCACTTGTTCCTTAATGAGCAGAAAACCAGTGGAAGAATGGAACTTCTCACATTTGTGGGCCTTGACTAGGGTATCATCTGATCTTTTCAGCCAATGTTATTGTAAAATTAACTTTGTAACCAACTGTTTGTGACTAAATAAAAGAGCAAGTATAATAACACCCACAACACAAATGCTACCAGGAGGGAACTCTTAAAGATACTGTAACCTCAATATAAGCATTCTTAAGCCTAATATTTTGGGGTTGTGGCAGAAAGACTTTGAAGTATATTTATTTATTTCCCTTCCAAATAATAGGAAATTACTTCTGACCAAATAATCCCAGTTTTGCCCCAGGTTGATTCTGTGCCCTTGATTTTATTGATATTCTTTAAATAGTGCCGATGAATTGGGTTCCGGCAGAATTGGCTGGAGGGGAGGGGATCAAAATTGGAAAAATTGTGGGAAGAACATAATGATGCAAGACTGGACCATTTTGAATGTGCGCATTGTGGTGCACAGTCCGCCATCTTGCCAATTTTGACCTCTCCATGTGGACATCGCTGTTGGGTTCCCTATGACTATGAAATATTTTTAGGAGTTTAGATTCAAATTTCCAGTGTTTTAAAATCTGCTCCTCCTTCTATACATACACTTGGCTCTTTTCCGCTGAAAAAACATAGGCTTCATGAACTTTTCCTGCCTTATGTATTTTTGTGCATATTTTATCCCAATGGATGCATTTTGATCTCTATAGTCCCACTTGGGAATCATACTGGCATGTCTCCCAAACTGTAAAATAGGGCATCCATGCATATTTTAAATGTATTCATTCTGCAGTTCTGAAATGAGAATTTTCATACAAAGAGCTGCAACCATACATTCCTCAGTTCCAAGTGACATCAGTCCAGTGTGGGTGATCATAATTTCATTTGTTCTTGTCTGTTTTCCCACTTCTCTAGTAATTGTGGCTATTTCCTTTTCCTTCCTTTAATGTCCTTCCATCATCCATTAGACTGTAAGTGAGGATGACCTTGGGGGTGGGGGGGAGAAGTCAAGATGGCAGTTGTAACTGTCTCCTTGAAGGTCCAAAAGGACCTTTTTGATCAGGTCATGGATACCATCTTGATTATTTTTTATTCCCCCTTCTCCCCCTCCCCCCAATTGTAAGCTACCTGGGCCAAGAATTTTTGTGCTAATTTTCCTCTGTAAAGTGCCATGTACAACAACAGGATTGCAATGGAAACCAAGCACTCTTATTTTTTTCTACTTACCCCAGCTGATCGAGGTGGCTTTATTCGGCTTTTCCTGTTCCTACCTGCTGTGGCTGACTTTACCTTACAGCTTTCTCCTGAATGGAAAATATCTGTAGAGGAAAAATGAAGTACAGTATCTTTAAATAAAATGAAATTCAGTGTGGGGAGACGAGGAGAATCACTTCCCCCCCCTTTTTCCTTTTAAACTAACATAATAACAAAGGTTAAAATCAAAAGTATTTTGCAAACTTAGGCTTTGCAAAATTACTTAGGCTAACAAGGACATTGTGATTTAAAAGCTTTCAAAATGTCAGTTTCTTTCTTTAATTAAAGGCTGTTATATTTTTCTTTGGGTTATGTGAGGATTTTGACTTGTTGAGATTATAATGAAGCACGTTAGATATATTCAGCACTTCAAACATACTCACATCTAGCCAGATGTGGCCACTGAATCTACAGGATTTGTCTGGGGCACAATCTAATTTGGTTTTCCTGGTCAGATTTTATTTGCAAAACCTGAAAATGAATGCTTCAATGCTTCAAGGCAATGCAATGACAATGCAATGTCCAAAAAAGTCAAGATGTTGGCCACAACTGTGTGATTGAAGCCCCATCCTTGTTTAATGGATGTCCCCTGCAGACACCCCTGAACAGGATGTAATGTAGGCCTTAAAGAGAGAAAGAAAGAAAAAGAGAATATGAATGCATGAATGTTGGCATCTCAACCTTAGGAAGTTGTTCTAGAAATGCCTCCTTTTGATTCCTGAGATTCTAAACACTATCCGCTGGTCGCTCATTATTCAGAATACTTGAAAATTCAAGAGGACAAAGAATAAAAACAGTTGTATTGGTATCCATTTTTTATTTATAAAAATAAACCACTTTACAGTTCAGTTAAACAAAATGAAGCCATTAACATTTATTTCATCACACATGTTCTGTTACCTTCTTATAAAAAAAGTAGTGGCCTGGTTACTTTCATACTTTGTGACTGGGTTTTTATTTTGGTTCATTTTCACCAGGAGCTTAAGGTGGCGTTTGTATTGTCCTCCACAACAGCCCATGAGTTGAGAGAGACAGGTTTGTCAGGCAGCTTCTGTGGCTGAAGGAGAACCATGCCCTTAGTCCAGCTCCTCCATTGGTACACCAGAGTGGCTCCTTGGCTGATGGGAAAGACTGTCCCCCAGGGAACCCCCAGGAACCCTAACTCTGGATCTCCCTGCTTCCAGTTCTGCCCCTTAATCACCACATCACACATTCCCTTAAACCATGGCTGACTGAGCCATAATTTGTTGAAGAAAGCTGTGAAGTTTCTGCCATTCAAACACGGAAGTGCATTTCAGATTTTTATCCCCTCAGTTTCCTGACTATTTTCGCATTTACCATTTCTGCTTTTCTGACTAAAGTCACATTTGCAAAGGCAAAGAAGGGATAAGATTGTTCCTGTCCTGCTGTTGGCTTGCTCACGTGTGGAATACATATGTTGTGTGGTATACATATAAGGACAGTTCACATTTAATTACTGTTATTTGTTTCCTAGGAGTAATACAACTTGAAAATAAAAAAGGATCACTGTCAGCTCGCAACTTGAGAGAACTGCCCTTATACAACTACGCAAAGGCTCACATTTGCAAATATTTAATATTTGTTTTAAGAAAAAGTGCTATTGCGATCATGTGTGCAACTTCAGTCTACCCCTTGCTGATCTGTGTTTGACAGAAAATTGGTAGTATATACTATTTGCTCACATGATTGACTACTTTAAATGTTTATGTTGTCTTATGTGATTTTCTAATTCTAATTTCTAATTTCTAATGTAATGTAATGTAATTTCTAATGTAATGGGACGTGGTGGCGCAGCAGCTTAATGACGCTGAAAGTTGCTGGCCAGAAATGGTTGATGCTTCAG